GGAAACTGATACTGAGTCTCGCCATTGTGGTACTTCTCTAACTTACCACATTTTCTCTTAATTGAATGGTTTTGCAGAATTGTGGCAAGACCCAATGCTTGACATCGCTTTGTTTAGCACTGCTGTTGTGCTTTCATTGTATTTTAAAAAACAAGCAAAAAATTGATTATGACTCCACAAGAAAGAAATAGAGTTGTAAATGAATGAATTACAGAGGTAATGTCACGGCGGGGTGCGCCGGTGTGAAGAATGAGGTAGACCCAAGAGCAGACACGGTGAGCAGACACTCAAAATACTGGGTCAAACTGACCCAGAACCGTGACAGGTAATACGAAAATATTGTTTACCTTGTGATTTCTTGGACTAATGTTTATAATGGTGAACAAATTTCCTATGCTGCCTCAGCAGTTTCTGACATATAGTTCATAGCATGAATGTGTGATAGATTTGCAGCATGTTGAGGGTGTTGCCTGTCCCTCGCTCTGACAGCTGCAATGTGCTCCAGCCCCACCAGAACTCTGAACTGGATAAACAGAAGGTAATGAATGGATGGATGGATCCAAAAAATAAAATAAAATGTAAAAAAGCAGAAGCTGTTCCTTTTTCCTTGCAACCTAACAAGTAACAAAGTAACATAGCGATGAAACATGGACAGCGGGGTCCTTGCTTTGCACTAAAAATCTCCCTTCCCAGAGGTTAACATGCACTATATACCTTCATATATGCACCACTGGCCTGCTGCATCGCTGGCTGTTGTCTTACTCTGACAGAGCCTGCAAGGGGTCTTGTCTGAAACAGCTATGGTCAAGGACAATGTGTCTGGCGCTAGCTTTGTTATGGGAGTTGTGGCGACTCTGTTATCATTCTGGGTCCATTAATTCCAATTCATTTTAGCAGCGTGATAACTAGCAGCGTCTGCTTGTCTGTGCTCTCACAAGTCAATGTACTGTGTTTCCAGATAAACATGAAGTCTGTTGTTGCCGGTTCTTCTTTTCCTGTGTGTTCTCGTGAGAGCGTGAGAGTACAGTAACTTTAGCCAAACCGCCATGTTTCATGCTATGAGGGTAAATGTGATGAAATATAGCGATGAGAAGAGATACAAGAAATTTATTGTAGATGCAGAAAATTAAATTCTTTTTCAAGGATTTAAGAAGTCACAGCTTTATCTCAGTGTAGGAGAAGCTCCCAGGTTGTGTCACGCAGAGAACTATACCTAAAACTACCATTTTAAAAAAGTATTTTATCAGTTTTACCCCTTAGCTGTAAAAGGCTGATGGCATAATGTCATCGCCCCTCCAGGTAGGCAGGCAGGGTCTCAAGGTCAGAGGTTTTTTTTTAATGAAACATAAACTGTATTTAATCATGAATCCACACATTACCTTGAAGTTGACCAGATATCCAACAATAACACATCAGTATGTGTGTGACTTTTATCAGATAATGAATTCCAGCATCCTGGAAGTTTGCAACTGTTTCCTCCTTTCAGATGAATGCACAAATCATAGTGGGTGTAATTTGTGAAATGAAAAGTCTAATAGAGTCTAGTTATGTACTCACTGGCCACTTTTTTTTAGGCACACCTTGCTTGTAGTGGGTTGGAGGCTTTGGCCTTCAAAACTGCCTGAATTACTCATGGCACAGATGCCAGAAACATTCCTCAAAATGTAATATTTTGACTTAATAGCATTAGAAAGCTGCAGATTAGTCGACTTCACATCTAGCCTTTTAGATTGAGATCTTGTCACATTTGAGTACAGTGAATTTATCACGTTCAAGAATTGTGATCACTGTGGTCATAAAGGGATGGACACGGTCAGCAAAATACTCAGTTGGGTTTGATGAAATGAGTTTCAATGATCCTTATCTTGCCCAAAGTTAAGAAATGTATCCCATGCCATTACAGCAGTCTGAACTACTGACACTTTGCCATTTGATGTGCTCTTCTGCTGCTGGCGCCCCTCTGCCTTATGGTTTAACATTGTTGTGCATTCAGAGATGCTGTTCTGCATACTTGTTTTATAACCAGTGATTCTTTGCTTTCCTGTCTGCTTGAAGCAGTCTGCCACTCTCCTCTAATCTTTGATATCATCAAGGCACTTTCTCCTGGAGAACTTCTGCCCACTGGGTATTTTCGTATCGGACCACTCTCTCTAGACTTTAGCTGTGGTTTTTTTGTAAAAGCCCAGTAGATCAGCAGTTTCTTAACTACTTATAGCAGCCAGTCTCACACCAATAACAATGTGACATTCAGAGTCATTTAAAGTCACCAGGCAGGTTATAAATGTTATTCACAGATTTTAACAGTTTTCAACATTTTAAAATGAGAAAACAACTAATTTGAGATCTGATGTACTTTTATGGATCTACATTAACCTAGTTTTTATGAGCTTGTTTTTGTAGTTTTGTGGTTTTGATAGCTACTCATTTCCAAATTCCTTGTCTCAGAAGGAAACTGAACATTGATAATTAGCAAGAATATATTCATGCTTGTGAATGTTCTCTATAAAAAAAAAAGTGGATCAGAGACTAAAAATAGCAGTGTAGTGTCTGGCTACAAAGTAAGAATGAAAAAATATGATACATGTGCTTTCTGGGAAATTCTTCAGCTTCTTGTTTTGGTTTTACATTATCGCTAGGCTAAAATTGCTCTTTTTAAAAATAAATATTTAACGTTTCTTTGGCCTTGGGCTGTATATTTTAACTGTGTTCACCATGAGAAACTTTTTACTTTGAGAAACTCCCTTTCTAAAAGGAAAGAAAAGGAAAGAGATTTTACATCCCCAAGGACAGAGGAGGAGTTTGTGCTGTGGTGAGGAAACAACATTTGGTTTCTAACACTTGCAATTTGATGAATCACACTGTTAGCACTGGAACGGCTCAGAAAAGAAATATATATAAACTATTTTTAATACTATCATATTATATCCAACTATAATTTATACATTAGCCTTACTTTCAATTACTATGCATGGATATTTCTTTTCATAGTTAATTGTGCAGGTAAGGCAGAAGCATGAATTTCCATGCAAGAAGAGTCACGTTGCCTGCCATCACACCTCTTTGTCTGCAGAAGCGGGTAGGAATCTTATATGGATTTGTTTTTGTATTGTCTCCCTCCCTGTTAGCGAAGGGCTGCTTTTTGTTTCTGTTTAGTGTTCTAAATTTAAGCTGTTTTTCCAGATGGTGCTGGATTAGATCTGGTCTCCCGTGACCACTATGTAAAGGCTTACAATGTTTAAAACTTCTCAAAGATTTAATCTTCATAAATGTTCTGCTCACATATGGTGTTCACAGTGCTTCGGCTGTGCTATTGTTACTTATTTAAATTGAGATATTTGCAGTACTTTGTTAAAAAAAATAATTGTACCATAAAACACATTCTTGCTATTAATTATACATCAATACTACAGTAGCCTTTTGAAGATGTTAAGATGTATTAAAAGCAGAAAGTAGCCTGCACTTTCATATCACAAATGGAATCTGGTGAAGTGTCACTTTTCTTTAATATGGAATATCAGTGCTGAACAAGGGAAAGCAGGGATGTTCATACTTTAATTTAGACATCAGTACAAAGTGTTTCAGTATCTTATAGGATGTATCTAATTAAAATGTAGACTGTTCACAAGCAAAACCACAATTACATATTTTTAAGTTTAATGTGAAATGCCTGAGCCCAGTCCTCTATCAGCCACTGTAATTTACAAAGTAGCAACTACAGCTTCCCAGCAGGCTTATCAGTGTTGGCTGATAACATTTGGCTAGTGTTCTAATTCATCTCCTTATTGTTGCACACTGACTCCACCGGTCTAAAAAATACTTTCCAAATGATCTAATTCCTTCTAGGTCTCGGGACAATAGTAACGTTTTGGATATGTAATCTTATAAGTGATGATCCAGTTGTAAACAGGTTTACCTACCAGAAAGGAGGTTTTATAATAATTTAAAACTCTTTATTTTCAAGTTTTATTTTAGTGGATAGCTAAGAGAACTATTCTCTGTCGTTTTCTTATATAGACGAGGCTGGAGGCCAACTTTTTACCACCACTCAGTGATATAGCTGCAGCTGTGGGAGTGCACTTCAAGGTTTAACCAGAGAAGGCTAATTGGTAAAATGGATCACTCTGTCCTGTCCTTGAGATAAGAAGGTCTAATAGAGAAGTTTATGTTCAATAAGACTATATTTAGTGCTGCATACCCAGTATCTGGACTTAGTCTTCCTGTTCCAGACTCTTTTCTTTTCTTTTTTACTTTTCATCACAGACCTTTATGACACAGCACGATGTGTTCTCACCCTTGTGATACAACTCTTGAAATCAACAGCCTTGTTGCCATCATAGTTTGATAAATGCAGCTTATATTGGGAAATTGTGCCAGTGTATCCTCAACAGTAATTTGGTGGATCAGTAGTGGCTCACCACCTATTCATATGTGTAAGTAAGTATACATATACGTGTATAAATAGTAAGGTTGCCTTAATTTGGACTTACTATGCAGATTTTTTAAGTGAATTGAAAATTTTACTATTCCAACTTGAAAAGAAAATAGCTGTCTCAGTGCACCACATGCACTGATCAGACAGACTACTGGCAGTTGAAGTTAGTAGCAATGACCATTATTACCGTTATTCACATTTATGTGGATTTAACTTTTATAAATCAGAACTATATATAGGGAAACCATGATAGCAGTTTTTGTGTGGCAGCATCAGTTTTTTTTTAGCTTTAATTCATTCAGATAAATATAAGATCAAACTCAAAGTCTTCACACATGTAAATGCACTTCTGAAAATATTTTGATCGCTGCACTTTTCATAGCATCACTTTAACTGGCATCTCCTCTCCTTATAACTGTACCCATAACTTTTGCTATACTGAGTAAATTGATACTTTTAGTTAGGCAGTCGTGGCACTTTCTTATTTTCCATAGGAGAAAAATATTCTCCAGGTAATTTTCTCTGTTTTTGCACACTGTAACACATAAGTTGTACTTGATTGGCATGACAGACATGAAGGAAAACATAAATGTTTTCCAGATGAAAACATGTGGGCTTTTGCATCAAGGTTACCTGCTCATGGCTGCAACTCTGTGTTTACTGATAAAGGCATCAATGGCTCCTGCAGCAGGGTGTGTGGCCTTGTCTTTTATTGGAAACACTTTACTAATGATTAACGGTACTGGCAAATCATGCAACATAATTAGTTTATAGTAGTCAAACTAAATGCACGAGTTATTATTTAATGAATTATTTTCTGTTTTAAATTAAAAAAAAAAACCACTGTTTTTTGTGTCTCATGGTTCAGATAAAATTACCCTTTTGAAGGGTATATTTACTCATTGTATATACTGCATCTTGTCGTCCAACCTAAACTGTTCATGAAAGCAACTTTCTGCTGAGTAATGCAAACATAAAGCACATCTGCAATGCTAATGGCCCACAAAGACTCCTTCGCCTCTGACAGACCCTACCCTGTTCTCGGTGAAATCTGATACCCAGATGATTTGATTTGGCCAATTTTCAGAAAGCCACATCCTTGAAGCAACTCAGCTAAAGCCCCTGATACAGTCACCTCCAGCAGTGCAGTAAATGCACATCTTATTAAAATCAGTGAACTATATATATATATGAACTACAATGAACAAATCAATTTGTTGCGTATGATTTTGCACTTTATTATCAATTCTTCTCTTTTCCTTTTATTCAGGTAAAAACCATTTTAGAAAACAAACCTGTAGTGCTAATATGCAGCAATGACTACATTAAACAATGAGTGATGAAATAAACCATTCTTAAAAGATAGTTCTCTTATACTCACTTCGTGACCTGATTGATTACAAAGTGGTTTACACTAAGAGGTGATGTCATAGGTGGAGGGCCCATTTGCTGAACCTCACTCAGCCCTGTTGAAAAGCTCTGACCTATCTCTACAGAAAAGGTGTCAGGCTTTTCCTGTCCAGGTTTAAGCTACCAATTGACCTCACTCAGAGAAAAGAGACAGCCATTTGGTCTTTGCTCCTACACTTTCCATACCTGCCTCTGACAGCTTTAGACTGACTTGAACCAGCACCTTTGTAATTGCTCTTGGGCTCACACAGGGCATTATGTAGGAGATCTGCTTGCCTTGGGTGTGTGCATGTCAATTCTAAGGGGGTTGGAGCCATGTGACTCTCTCTCTCCACCCTCTAGTAAATAAGCAGATTGATCTCTGGCTTCCTGACTCTTAGTGGTGAGAAAAGGAGGCAGGTGATTTGGTATCGAGCACCAGTGATACACATATGTGGATTCAGAAAAGAAATCTGCTGAGAGGGAGTTTTATCTAATTGCCTAATTTCAGCTTCACTGTGGCACAGAGCAAGATAAGGAGAGAGCGAGAGAAAGGCTGCTTGTGACAGCTGACACTTGCTGCGCTGTCTGATGAGAGTGTTTATATTTCTCACAAAAGCTCTCATTTGCGATGCTTTGTACTCAGCCATGTTTTGGCTACAGAACTAGCCCAAACTCAATACTATGCTTGGCTCCAAACAAGCGGGTAAGTTCCTGTTTAATGTGTCTTGTGTTCTTTGTGTTTCTCTGCAGGCTTGAGTCTTTATATTCTGTTTTCTGCCTTGTAGGACATTTGTGTTGTGTCTTTTTTTTCTTACCTATTATGTTGTTCAAATAGGCAAATGAGCTACCTGTTTACTATACGAAGGTGAAACTGATTGGGTTGTATGGTACTTATAACACAATCCTTTACAGTATGTCCAATCTGAAAACATAACTTATGTATCTTTAAAAGTCACTAACGTCTCTCACTGCTTGCCTGAAATGGTTGTTAATTTAATGTTTCTGCTTCAGGTAATTAAAGTTTATAGTGAAGATAATACCAGCAAAGCTGTAGAAGTTCCTTCTGATGTAACTGCCCAGGATGTATGTCAGCTGTTTGTCTTGAAGAATCACTGCATTGATGATCACGCCTGGACACTTTTTGAACACCTCTCCCATCTAGGAATAGGTAAGATGATGCTGTAACAGCTACCCAGTTATTTACATCATACTAAATTTAAAAACAATGATGGCAAAAAATTATTTGCAGCATTTTCAGTCAAGTTTACCCATAAGTCTTGCAATAATCCTATCAAAATGATTCTTTTTCTTTTTAACACTCCGTTTCAAGGTTTTGAAAAAATCAGTTGTGCTTTTCAATGCAGTTAAAACTCACAAATATCAGCTTGATCTCAGCACTTTAGTTCTAACAATGAAGGATGAAAAAATACACCAATAAGCCGTACCACTAAAACCACTAACATTGGAACCTGTTGATATGTTTTGTTGTAAGTGGACCTTTTTATAAAGGCTAAATTGCCATGTCTAGGTAACTAGACCCGGACATATCCAAAGCAGGAGGTCTTTGTTTTTACACTTTGCAGTGTGCAATAACTACCCAGAGTGGTCTAAGGAAGGACAAGTGGGAAACTGGTGACTGGGGAATGAGGCCAAGGTTAAATGATGCTTATGATGTCAAAAAGAAGAGCTACAACAAACAAACAACAACAAATTCCTGAATGTCTCAACACTAGTTATGATAAGCTGTCAGAAAGAAGGACACAGAATAAATAATGTTATGTAACCATGGACTATGACTGTAACTGTAATTATTTATATAACACGGTACTTTATTATTTACTGTTAGATACTGTATTTGTATACAATATACAATTATCCATCTATGTGTGCGTGTACATGTGAATTTGCCAGGGATACACCTAATTTGCTGTAGATGAGAACACATATTTAGCCATTTTTAGACAAACTAGTTTCATCATTTGTTTCATCATTTGGTAATCTGTTCTGTAGATGTTGTCAGTGAGTGTGGGTTTTGTTTATTAAGCATTTTTTTAACCTGAATTAAATCAAGATTGTTGTCAGTAACAAGTATATTCATCTGATAACCTTCTTGCACTGATATTTATTCAACTTACACTGCTGGCTGAATGCAATATGTCTTCCAGTTATTCAACAATCAGTTAAAATTCTAGGAAATAATTAAGTTCTAGGAAATAACTGTTTATGTTGTACCTCTTGTACCTCTTGCCATGCCCATAGCTGGAGGTTACACATTAATGTAAGGTTAATAATCAAACTCTTTTCCTCAATGCAACTTTTGCTGGGGAATCATTTTCAGAGATTACTCTATTTTTCAAGAACATTTAATTCCATGTCCTCAACCTTGCTTTGACCTGATTCTAGATAGTATATTTTAATAAGAGGGAAAACAAAGAACAGGAAAAACAGCAACAGCAAAACAGGTTAACATGTCATTTCTTTGTTCTTGCTCTCACTAGAAAGAGCTCTGGAAGACCATGAGTACGTTATGGAAGTACTTTCAAGCTGGGCGATGGACACAGACAGCCGGTTGTATTTTAGGAAGAATTATGCTAAATATGAATTCTTTAGGAAACCACTGGTGAGTTAGTAATTATACAATTCTATGTATATATATCTATAGTCATACACAGCAAGTCTCTTTGTACTAGCCCAAAATTATGTGGGTGGAAGAAGTTAATAACTGATGTCTCTTTCATATTCATAGGACTTTTTCCCAGATCACATGGTTTCCATATCGAGTGAAACCAATGGGATGGTGGATCACTGTGACCTTATACAGGTATCAGGTTCTTAGGTTCTTTATGTTTGCACTGCACTCTCTCTGCCCTGTAGTGGAGATTGTTACTGTGATTATTTAATGCACACACCCAACTAAGAACAAATATTCCTCTACCCAACGCAGACCTTTCTGAATTCCAGCACTTGTCCTGAGATCCATGGATACCTTCACGCCAAAGAGCAAAGCAGGAAGTCTTGGAAGAAGTCTTATTTTGTTTTGCGGCGGTCAGGGCTTTATTTCTCCAATAAGGGGACTTCCAAGGTTTGTAGAACAAAATAACTTGTCCACAGAATGTGTTATGAATTATGGGAAAATCACAGGTTGTTTAAAAAAACATATTATTAAGTGGGCTATTCCATACAACCAGTCTTATTGCATTACACCAGTTCATTTTCTAAAAATCCACATCTGTACATTGGACGAGGGGTACTTTACAGAAGAAAGATATAGGATGAAAAATGCATTGTTCCAAATGGACAACTATACTGTTGTTTAAATTTCTAGGGATTGATACACGACCTCTGTTTGTGCATTTTGGGCCACCTCTTCATGTTCTGGCTACATCTCACTCATGTTGCGAGAGGAGAGTGAAACAGGTTGAGCTGGATTTTCATTAGGTCAGCTGGCACAGCAGCCATGCAGAAACTGTACTCACAATGCTGCTGACAATTGAAGCTTATACCTAGCCACCAGGCACGCCAACACATCCACTTTTCAACTCCTTTCATTTTCTACAACAGTAGACCTTTTGTTGTTAAGTGCAGGTTGACCTTGGCAAGGCGCCCACTTTTAGTCTATCGTGTTTACTCTTCTTCTTTGGTTTTGGTCAGATGTTTGCTAGTCAGTTACCACAGACACTAATGACTGTGGCGTAACATTAAAAAAAGACATAGGAATAGTGAGTCACATGAAAGCAGGACAATGAAAGTCTGTGAGGGTTTTTTTTTTTTGTAAAGTTATCCTTGAAACAAAATAGCTATTGATACCATCTCAATACAGCCGCTATCAACATATCTAAATTTATCCTTATCTTTTGGTTACATTAAGAGAGTAACCACACCCAGAATGGTTGATAATGTGTTATTATTAGATGAAAATGTACTGTTTACCCATCATATACAATCATCCAAAGCATGCTTTGACATAAATGTAGATATCATTTATCGTTTACTCTTGTAAAACAAATATGTTATGGTCTTTTAATTACATTGCAATCCAAAGATAACATGAATTGCTTAAATCCTGTCTTTGGAAAATAGCTCATTTTGAAATCAACCCTAGCAACACGACAGTTCACCACAACAATATTGCAGAGAAGCTTTATATTGTAAATTAAAGACCCTACAATGTTGTAGGAGAACTCCTCAAAATCCACTATGACCAAGCACTTGGCAACAGTGAAGAGGAAGAACCACTTACATGGATGGATCAAGAATTAATTTTTACACAGTAACATACATGATTTATAGTCAGGGCTGCACATAAGTGGTCCGCAGGTGCGCATTCACTGTCAAAATAAAAGTATTCCCGGAAATTCAGAGAATATGTGCCTCTTTTGTGGTGGAGATAGTAATTGCTTACGAGCTTGCTTCTTCGACATCTTTAAGAGTTCTGAACAAATGTCCGTCCTCCTCCAGAACATCTAATGTACGCAAACGAGTGTTCCAACTTCTTATCTGGTATGCGTCTTTTATTTTGACAGCAAATGCGCACCTGAGGACCATTTATGTGCAGCTCTGTTTATAGTTTCCTGTGCATTTCAAACATTGTCCTTTCTGATGTTTTTTTTATTTTTTATATTTAAAGTAACATGGCTGCTATGAGGCCAGCTAGGATCCCTGTGGACCTTGCCCTACAAATGATCCAGGACAGATGGGATGAAGAGCCCATCTGTGGCATTGACTCAGAATCTGACATCTCAGATATAGAGGACCCAGACTATTGTCCCCCCCTCTGAACAAGGCCAGTCAGATACAGAGGAGTCCTCTGATGAGTCCTCTGAAGAGGAAATGGATATTGAGTCTAACAGAATGAGCCCCTCTTACTGCTCTAGCCACAATATTCTGAATTAGTAGGCCAGGGCTTGCATCTGGGTCTAGTACTGTCTCCCCAATAGATGCGTGGAAGATGTTCATGTCTGATAATATAATAGAAGAGGTGCTGACATGCACAAACACGGAGGCACGAAGAGTAGCAACCGACAGGGGAAAAGAGTGGAAAAATGTAATCAAACAAAAGCTCCTGGCCTTCATTTGATTGACCATTCTTGCAGGAAGTGAGAAGAACTGGGATGTACCAGTCAGTGTGGTTTTGGGAGTCCTCTGCATAACCCATTGTACAAGGCCACTATGTCAATTCAAAGATTTAAAGATATTCGCCGTTTCTTGCACTTTGATGACAAGAGGACCAGAGCCTACTGACTGAAAACAAATCACAACCGAGTTTATAGCAAAATGCATTGTTTCTAATTCTATTTGGGGTCATTTTTGACCCCACTCGTGGAAGAGTGTAGGTATTGGTAGGTTGTGTATCCAAGGGTTAAGTAAGAGTGGACCATGAAGCATCCAGAGGCTAGACTGGCCTTCTTGCAATCCAGACTTGCCACCCACTAAAAGCATTTGGTGCATTATGATACTGAAAATATGGCACAGATGCAAGCTTTTGAGTAGCTGACTTTCTGTATTAAGACAGAGTGGAAAAAACATTTTGCTTTTCAAATATGATCTCAGTTTCCAAACTCGTGTTGCTGACATGGAATTTAAAATGTGAATATTTTTAAATATATACAAGTTTTTCCTTTTTAAGACTTTTAATTATTTTGTAATTTTCAATTATTTTAGTATTTCATTTTTTTTGCATTTGTGATCACATCAAAAAAAACACAGAAATGTTCAAATACAGATACACTCAGCACTCACCTGAGATGTTCCTGTGTTCCAGGTATAGACATGAAGGCTTAAGATTGTTTCATGTGCTGTTTTATACTTCACACCTCCAGTCCATACCTGTTCTGTACCTTTGTCTTATTATGACCTCTCTGTGTTTAACAGGAACCAAGACATCTCCAGTTCTTTGCTGACTTCAGTGACAGTGATGTCTACACTGTTTTGGCAGCCAAAAAACTACACGGGGCACCTACAGAATTTGGCTTCTGTGTGAAGGTAAGAGCAGTACTGTAACTGATGTTGTTACTATAAAACAGAGACATGCCAAAACTGTATAGAAGGAGCAGATGCACGCTGATTCACAGGGCTGTTTTGTTTTCTTCCAACTTCTCACCTCAGTCCACAAAATGCAGTTCTGCCCGGGACTTGAAGCTGCTTTGTGCAGATGACGAGCAGACCAGGACCTGCTGGATTACAGCCATGCGCTTGTTAAAGGTTGGCTTGCTGATAAATAACTCTGGGTGATATCTAAGAGTAGGAATGCTGAGTCAGTGTTTGAATCAGATTTAGCTTTGGGAGGAGGTCAAGGGAAGCTTTTGAGTGATGCTGGAAGATCACTCCCACTCTTGATAGAAGCAGCATGTGTTCATTGTCTGGATATAATCTGGATACAATTTAGAGCATTACTCACCCCTGCTAGTCCACAAATTATATACACAGTGCATTGCAACACATTTACTTGTACCTGCCATTTGTAATCACTACACCATTGGTCTGGAAGGATTATGGGTTAACACACAACAAATGTTTGGATTAAATTGGACAATTTTAATCACTTCTTTTTTCCTGTGTTTTAGTTTGGGATGCAACTTTACCAAAATTTCATTCAGCCACACCAGAAGCAAAAAGCCTCACCAATGGTTAGTTAATGTTTTTCTTGTTTTAGTAATTATACTAGCTTTATATTTTATTATTTTTTCTCATATGTGGCAACTTACCTGTTTTTAAAGCTACTTTAAACACAATTTTGGTTAGCAACAACTTGAATGATTGTGTGAACCAGCAGGTTAGTGTGGCAACCCTACATGGACCTTTTCACTGCAGACATTTTGACTTGTCACAGTAAGCAAACAGCGGGTGAAATAATAATGGTTCACTTCAATTTTGTGTCCCAGTAACCCTTGACAGTAAAACGCCATCCACAAAAGCAAGACTTAAGTAGAATCTAGCCATCACCTATACACCTTTTGCTTTTCTTAGTGTGACTCCTGTGAAGTATTTCTATAACTGACAAACTTTCAGTTTTCTTCAATAATAAGGAACCTTTTAAAAAGCTTTATTTGCCCAAGTTAAGCTCATGCTTTTGTTGCTCTAGCCCACAATCCTGATAGCGCAGAATCTACAGCCTACAAAATTCAAACAAACAGATAACATTAGCAAACAGTTAGGAAGTACAGTATTATATTTAGCAGGTAAAAAGTTATCAGATTCTACGAAAGCTAAAAAATAAAGTGCACTGGACATACATTCATTTGGTGAAATATAAATCTTCAAAATGATGCCCCTCTGTCTGGTGTAACTTGAAAGACACAAAAGTAACATGAGCCAGCAAATAGTGGTGTAGCAATATAATTGTATGGAGCAAATGAGGAATCTGCGGTGTCCCAGAATAGCCTTAGACTGCGCTGAGAGTATTTTTGCAACAGCAGACACAGTCTATTTATGGGTAATGAACATGTTCATGAACTACTCGCTTTCTAAAAATACATAGTGATCAGCTGTCCACAGATTTAACAACTTGTCACCTCTTCTCTAGTGTTGGAGTGTCATGTGTTGCCAATAACTTTACTGAGAGGATTTGCTAGAAAGACAGGAGAATAAATGAATATCTTAAATGCAATGTCAGGCTATTTAGACAAACTAGAATACTAGATTACTGCTTCATTGCACTGAGTTAAAAACAAAGCCCTGCTCTTATGCTGATTAGCACATTTATAAGTAATAGGATTTATCTTTATATCATTTCAAGTGCAGCACTGTTAATAGGAGGGGCTTTAAAAGTAATAATTTTGTTTTAGCTACTTAAATTGCAAACTTACTGGCCAGCATGGAGATGAATCTAGTATTTCTTTGTAATCCTGAAGAAGAATTTTCTTAGGTGTGTTTGCAGTTTTATTTAGAGACACTCACTATATTGCAGCTTAATGTCTAACTTGTGCCCAAGTGTAATTCCTTTCAAAACCTCTCTAATCCCTTTTCAGTTGAGTTTTGTGTGTGTGTGTGTGTGTGTGTGTGTGTGTGTGTGTGTGTGTGTGTGTGTGTGTGTGTGTGTGTGTGTGTGTGTGTGTGTGTCTGGAATCATCTAGAAAATATGAAGATGGAGTCATGTTACTCAAACACTAGATGGCAATGCAATACCACAAGGCAGCAGAAGTAAATCTACTCCCTTTTCATAGTACAAAATAGAGAGTGAACCAAAATAATAGCAAGAATTTGGGGTATTTTGAATTACACATCACGTGACTTGAATTTAGTTTTATATGACCACATATACAGGTGTGTGAAAAGTCCTGAAAAAATGTATTAATATTTTAAAATACACATCAGTGCAAACTGTGCCATTTCAGAGAAGCATATCAGAGAACTCTCTGGTGGCTATGGACTTTTCTGGCCAAAAGAGTCGGGTGATCGAGAACCCATCCGAGGTGCTCTCAGTAGCTGTAGAGGAAGGCTTGTCGTGGAGGGTAAGTCTTAATGTCTCTTAATCTGGTTCTATTAACAGAAAGAAAGCATAAAATTTAGGCTAATAACTAATAATGCTTCACTTTAGTTTAAACATCTTTCTGTTGTTTTATTCATTGAATATATTCAAATAATATGTTAAATTTAATAATATTTCCCAAAAGTAAATGCGACTGTCAAGCGTGAGAAAATCTTAATGCCTCAAGCAACTTGCAAATGAGCTAGAATGTTATGCAAAATGAAACATCATAAATTAACTATGTATTAACATTATTTTCACTCATTAGTTGTAATTCTCTTCGCCCACAGAGGAAAAGCTGCCACCGCTTGAGTGGTCATGGGAGCCCTTCCACAGCCCAGAGCTCTGTGCTAAACATAGGTGTGTGAAACATCAATTTCACTTTTTTAATGTACAACTGAAAGATATTTTCTGACGTAGCATCTCTGCTTCAGCTATCCACGTGGCTCAGCCGTGGTTTCATGGCAAACTGTCTCGTGAAGAGTCTCACCGTCTAATTGCTCAACAGGGTCTTATTGATGGGTAAACAGTTATACACTTCTATTTGTGCTTTGGCTCATTTAAGACATTAAACTTGATTTGCAGATATATATATATATATATATATATATAATTTTTTCATCAACATGAGCATGTTTGCACTAAAGCAAAGCAACACAATATTCTCTAATGTGATGTAATTTACCATATGAGGCAGTTCACTCCGTCCATTTAATGTTGGTAAGTCTTTATAATGACTGCTATACTTTTTATTCTCTTTGTTTCAGAGTGTTTCTTCTGAGGGACAGCCAGAGCAACCCTAAGACATTTGTACTTTCACTGTGCTATATGCAAAAAATTAAACATTTTCAAATATTACCAGTGAGTATAATTAACCATTTGAAAATTACTGTGCAAAGGTTTTAGGTTCAAAAATAAAGTGGTTCTTGATTACAAAAAAAGAACCCCTAAAATATTTTTCCCTTTATTCATTCATGACCTTCATACAACAGAAAGGAGATAACTGTATTGAATATATTTGCATTCGAAACGCAGTGTACCTTGGTAAACTTACAGCCGTTTCAAAGTACTCGGCACGTGGGTTATTTTAAGCATCCTCAAAAACTTGCCACAGTTCTTCTGATGAGTCAGGCTGTCTCGGTGTTTTCCTGGACATTAACAACTAGCATCCTCTGTAGAATAGCACAGCAGAATAAATTTTGGACTAATCAGATAAGATACCTGATTATACCTGGAACAACTGAATTACCTATAACTTTTGCATAGTACATAGTATTTTTGCACGTTTTTCATTAATCTCTGAAAAATTATCTGAAATATTTAAACTCATTTGCACCAAGTGACCTGTTTTTTGTGTGTCATTCATTTCTACATGGATTTGTATATGTCTGTGTGTATGCTTCATTGTAGGTGGACGATGAAGGAGAGTCGTTTTACAGTCTTGATGATGGTCAAACACGGTTCACTGACTTGATCCAGTTGGTGGATTTTTACCAGCTAAACCGTGGGGTGCTTCCATGCAAGCTCAGACATCACTGTGCTCGGATAACCCTGTGAACAAGGGACCCAAAAGACAGCTGAGGTCCCACATGCACCTTAATTCCTGGTTCTTCTGGAGAAACACAATGGTGTTTTTGTGCCTTGGAAAAAAAAAAGATAAATAGTTGTTTTCATAATGTGGTACATGACTCAACCTTATTTTTTCTTATTCAGAAAAAGGTGAATTTCACAATAAAATAAATAACTACTGGTGCTGAAGATCATGTGGATTACATTTTGGCCCGTTAATGTATTGGTGTAAGTATGTGGTGGTAGTAGTTGAGATACAGCAGCAGGAATTTGAGTGTTCATTGAAAATAATCCAGCAGAACGTGTGCTGCAGTATGTATAGAGCAAAAGTGCTGTAAATATGTGACATTTACGGTCTGTTAAAAGTAAATGATGACTGAATCCCTACAAGGACATGCTTGTGGAAACCTGTAGTATGGCTCTACACTGTCAAGTCTGGGAACAACTAAGCTATTATTATACTAAGCTATTTTTTTTGCTAGGTATTCGTATTTTTTAAGAAAGTTACTCATTTTGTTTGTTTGTTTCTTTTTTTAATTTGAAGTGATAAAATTACCTCTGAGCAAGTTTCACTGCGCATGCCTTACAAGGGATTGGCAAAGAGCTGTAATGCCCCGGTGAAGAGGTTCCAACCTCACTGACTTTGCATTGTGCACTGCATAAACTATATAGATACAGTTATGATTAAGTGAACTGTTTGTATCCATGGAATCAGTGAAAAAGTTCCCCTGAAGTAAGAGCAATGAAATAAATGCTAAAGATTTTTTTTCTTTACATGTAATCAGAAATGACTGATATTTGAATTCACTGTAAATTTAAATTTAGGTTTTGTAATTTCCCGAGATTCAGGCAGACAATTTGCAACACCTGGGCTGATTGTATTTTTTGACGTTATAGCCACATCTGTGGATATACGGTGTCAGATACTTTTTTTTTTTTTTAAATGATGTTAGTCCTTCTAACATTGACATTCAGCTTCATACAATCTTTTTTTTTTTGTAACAGCAACAATGTAAGAACAAGGTATTTTAAATCACAGTGGCTGGACAACAGTGCATTGAAATGCAGTTTTGTAAATAAACTCATATAAACCTGTCTGTTGTAAGGTGTGATTTTTGTATGATTGTTTTGGTTGTTTTAACAACAGGCTGCAAGGCAAACACATGGCTTGTTAAACCACCATAAAGTAGGTCGAATTGATGCTTAGAAATTCACTTAATGTTTATACATGGTCTGTACATAATTTTTATTGCTGGCTATGCATATACCTGTAAAGATAAGATCTGGTATTGTGTGCAGGAACCACTATGCTAACAAACTCACCCTTTCTTTAAATAGCAGTAACATATGACAGTACACTGGAACAATATATTATTGTCTTTTTGAGTAATATAGGGCATACAGGGTTATCATATAAATGCAGTTAAACTTGAGCAAAGTATAAGATTCCTCCTGAGCCGACTCATCAGCACACAGAGGGGTGCTGCTCTGGTCAGAAAGATTTTTATTGTGCCAACGTACATCGTGATTTTCTAATGGAATCCAGCTCAGAGTTAAATTTAGCCACACTATATAGTCTGCATATGGCTCTCATCAGGCTAATACTGTCTGGAATTAATTATTGAACTTTTGGGGCAATATATATATATATATATATGTAATTTATTTTCTCTCAACAGCACTGGCTGATTTTTACAACCACTAGATGGTACTAGAAGCATTTTACTTTTGCTTGTGGAAGTTTATGTTTGAAATAATAGGTCAGGTGCAATCCTAGTTACATAATACATATACAGTTTGTGATAAAGATGCTATTTGGGGTTGTGTAAAATTAAAGTTGCTTAAGACATAGAAGTAAGACACTTTAATTATTGAATATCATTAACTGTTATTGCATTAATCTGCTAATAATGCTAAAATGCATGAAGAAATATCGAAATGTTGATATATATTGCAATAATTCAATGAATTTTACACTGACTGGATGCCACTGACTGCCTTTATACACCAGTGGTTAGTGAATTAATATCAGTTTCAAGTAATGTATTTGAGGTAATTATGTCACCTACAATTGACTTTAAAGGATTAATAGAATTAGAAAAATTTAGCAAAGGATAAGGGATCGCGACGGCTGTGCAGTAAATGAAACAAAACAAAATTGTCTCGAAGCATCTGTGTTAAACAATCTTCTCTGTTGTGATACAAACACATTGCCCCCATACCTCCCCTGTTCTACTTCAGTAGCACATTTTGAAACAGTGCGCACATCCAAGGGAGATGAGTGCACACAGAGAAGTCTTAAATGCACCCCTGCTTCCGAGGTCTTGTGCTAAATGTTGTTTTGGATGTATTCCTGCCATTGATCGGAGTCTGGCTGGAGGGGGAGAGATGGCAGCTGGGAGAGACTGCGCTTCCTTTAATGAATTCATCCTCCTCTATCCTGCCCAAACGGCCTGTGGATACACCATCTCTCCCAGTAAAGAAAACCTCTCTGCCATGTCTTGGCCCTCATGGACAACCACCAGTGTTCCTAACACTTCATGCTACTGCACTGAATTTACTCCTGCGTGCACTTTTACTCTTATGACTTCAGGTTTTGTACTTGAGAACTGTCAACTTTGCTCTGTTCTTAAATGACCCTCATGTTGCATTCCCCAAGTCTGGATTCAATTATCTGATTTCAGCCAGTTACTGATTATCTCCAATGAAATGAAGACCTTGCTGTTTGCTTTGCTCTTGATCAACAAAAGGGCATTATCTCAGCTTGGTTTTGAGTCCAGGCAGAGTCTATAACGAAATGAAAATAGTTTTGTTTCAGGGATGCGTAACAGTTAGAGGCTTTAACTGTTCTTTTGCAAAAGGAATTCCCATCATAAATATCTAAAGCTAGAAGCAAATCCAGAAGCACTATGGTGGCTACAGTGGACTTAAGCAGCAATAATTATGGGTCAGTTTGAAAGAAAAACTATGAAATATATGGCATTATTACAGATACAGGGTAAAATACATATTAAAATATGTTGGACTCCTTGTTTTACTTATATTGAATAATTTACAATATTTAGACTGAGTGTTATTTGGTCTCTAGTGTTTTTGCTCTTTCTGTATGTTAATGTTGTGAAAAGGAAAATTATTCTTAGTAAAAATAAATAAAATAATTGTCATTTTAAATAAAATCAGAAGCTGTTGGGGTCATGCAAAAAGATAGGACTGGTAACTATAAAGCTATATATGTTTATTAGAGAGTATGCAGACTGGCTCATGTAGATGGTTTTAAATAGTAACCAGCTTTAGATTAAATTCTATTAACTTATTATTAGTTGTTAAGATGGTATTTGTTCTTTGTATGTCTGAAAGGTCATTCAGTATTTTGTCTATTTCTTGTTTAGAATTATGATTTCACAAAACAAACATTGGACTCAAACATTGGATAATTAATTAAAAAACGAACAAACAAGTAATTAAGACTAATAAGACTTATAAGTTATAATTTGTGGGTTGTTAAATGTATACATTAACACAGCAACAACAATGGGAATAAATTTGTTGTTAATCAGTAGCTGCTATACCAGTTTGCATCTTCTATACTTACAGACTGTGAGATTTGACAGTGTGGTTTGTGCCGTGGTGTGAGGCGCAATTTCTTGGTGTATTGAGCATCTTTGGTAATGTATTATGTCTCAGATAATTGCTCAGACAGTGCTTGCTCTATAAGTAGCCTTTCTAACCTCTGATATATTTTTCTGGGGGTCTTGGAACTGGCAAACGGTAAGTGCCAAGCTTTGTTAATTACAAGGATAACAAATGCACTTGTCAAATAATGGATGTGGTTGGCAATTTCAAGTTTTAATAATCAATTACTGGCAGTAATTCTCTGTGGAGTCACAGGATAGTCATTAAATCTCAAAAGGCGGGACACATACTATGTAGCTTTTTCCTAAGCCCTATTTTTAAATACATAAGGGAACACAGTGTGCTTTAATGTGTTGAATTTTGTTGCCTTATTACAATGTAAAGTAGCCCAGTTATACATAGACAGTGTATTGCTCTGTTCCTGAAAAATAACAGTGTGGTAAATTGTCATATTAATGCTTCTTCATAACGGAACAGAGATGTTGCGGCACAGTAAAGTTACCACTTTTATTATGTCAAAGCCAGAAGTTTCATTTAGCACCAAGTCCTATATGAACTCGCATTCAGCAGACAAATCTTTTTTTTCTTTCTTTTTAGGCCTGAAACGCCTCTGAATGTGGCCTTTTTGATCTTTAAAAACAAGAACATAGTGGTATTGAATCATTTTTTGTTGTTGTTGTTTTCCTATACAGCAGGGTTCCTGTTATTGTATATGCAGTTCACCTTCAAAGCTGAAACATTGCAGAGGTTCTTCTTGACCTTGAGAAATTAACATGGGAGGACTGGCTTTGCTCTGAGGGAGTCCTATAGAGGCCACATCCCCTCCTAATCCCCAGTTGAAAGGCATACCTCTACTGCTCAGAGAAAACAGAAACAATGCAGCAAGTCAAGTATTTACATGAAAAGTATTTCTTATCCAAGTACACCAAATGTGAAACATTTACTTAGATGAAAATGTTTCGTGTCTCTACACATCCCATCATATATCACGACATGAAACATTTCATTCTGGCTGTTTTATCCAGATCTCATTAATCTACATTAATCTCTTTGTGATTAACGTACAACGGGACAGAACAAAGTGCTCGTGAACAGGGAGTGAGGTGGAGAGCAGGAGGGAGAGCGGGACTGAGTTTGGCCCTGCACAGTTGAACAAACAGAGAATCTGAAGTGCAGCGCCCTGTGTGGCTTCCCACCAACTGAACAACATTAAGGCAGTCCTCCATGTAAAACCTGCTCACTTTTCCCACAAACTCTTGAGTTTGGCAAACGGGCAGCTGCTCAGCAGGGAGGAGCTCTCACTGGAAGGCAGACAGCAAGCTTTGGACAGCAGGGAGACATAAACCACAGCTTCTGGTGGTGATGGGCTGATGTTTTAGGTGATCAAAAGGATGGGTAAGAAAAGGAAAACGACAGGGGTAAAACCAGGAGGGGGTCTTGGAGAGGAAAACATTTTGGACTAAAGCTAGAAAGACATGAAAAGCAAAGTACAGCTGATATGCTTGACCGTGCAGCACTTGGGGTGAATATTTTTGTACACTGAAAAAGTACACCGAAACTCTCAGGTTCCCTTTCTTATTTTAGCTATCATTCCATTCATTCCATTCATGTGATATATATCACGGGACAATTTACTCCAAGGGCACAAATTAGGATGATATATTGTACTAGTATTTTTTTCTGCAAAATAGGCCAAAATGTTCACCGTGCTACACACAGATACACATTTACACGTTCACCAGCGCATTTGCACACGTACTGGATCAATTTAAATTCCTTCCTACATTTTCTCATTTACATGGTGTGTGAGAGACTCCTGAACAGAGTAGGAAGCCTTGTGGAAGAATTAGGAAATCGTCCATTTCTGAGAACACAGTGGAATAGAGGCAGAGCAGCATATGTTGGGATTTGAATGGTCAATCGATGAATAACCCAGAGCGGTGTTTTTCTGTGCAGACTGGCAGCCGTTGTGTAGCGGTATCCGTGTGTATGTGCGTGAGTGTGTGAGTGTGTAAGAGAGAGGGAGAGATGGGGGCATGGAGGAGTGGGGATTCATCCTTCCCCAAAGTATTACGCAGTGGTCAAAAATATTTGCAATGCCAGGAGGTATTTTGAAAAATTCAATACCGTGCTGACCTTTTGCTGGGCATTTGTGAGCAGATTCACTCTCTGTTTAATCTGGCTCAGAGTCAGGGAAGATTGGTGTTACTATATCATGTTGTTGATTTTAAATTATGGTAATCTATTCTGCTCATACTTTTTCTTTGATGTCTTTATTAAAATCTTTTGTTTTACAGTCAGGGTTGTGTACCACAAATTTGACAAAACAAGAACCTAAAAATTAAACTGACACTAAATGGACAACAGTGCATGTGCTATAAAACAGAGAGCTGCCTATAGGATTTATAAATGGATTTTATGTAATGCATCAGTATTTATTCCCCTTTTACAAATATAAACTC